TGAGGGGAAGAAGGCACAAGCCCTCCTCCAAAGCAAACAGAGCGAGTCCTGGAGAGGCCCCACAAGGCGGCCATGAGGAGTGAGAAAACATCGCAGGAGGACTCGGCCTTGGGCAGTGCAAACAGAACCACCACGCCCCACTGAGAAACCTCCTGGGCTCCTCTGGCTCCCTCCCCCTGGCTCCCCTGCATCCCCTTGCCATCCATTTCCTGTGTGTTGATGCTTTTCAGGCTCCATGCTACCCTGTAACTGGGTCCCCTGCAAGTAGGGTGACCAGATGTCCCGATTTTAGGGTCTTTTTCTTATATAGGCTCCTATTACCCCCCACCCCCTGTCCCGATTTTTCACATTTGCTGTCTGGTCACCCTACCTGCAGGGAATCGCTGTGAGTGCTCCGAACGGCCTCTCCCATATCACCTCTCTGGGGGTTTTATATACCAGATCGCGTCCAAAGGCATTCAGCATATTTTCCCCCCGTGAGGCACCAGGAGATATCATCACGCAACCTCCATCCTCCTCCCCCCCGCATCCAGTTATGATGAGTCCTGGGTTCAAGCTGAAATTTAGTGAGAACTTGGGATCAGTTCTCCAAGGAGAGGCAGTGTAGTCTACTGGATAGGGCACTGGGGATGTAAATCAGGAGATTTCGGCTCTATTCTCAGCCTACCATTGGCTAACCAGGGCGGCATGGATCAGCATTCATGTCATACTCCCCATCAGTGCCCTGGCTGGCCGAGGAAGCTAATGATCCAACCAGCAGACCAAATTCGGTGGTGAATCCTGGTCACGTGCCACCTGAGGCATATGCTAAGAAGAGTGCCTTACTGTGTGACAGCAGCCATCTTCTGTGCCTCATCTTTCCCACCCACAGAATGGGAAGAATAATGCTTCCTCATTTTTGTAAAGCATTGATAGCACTTTTCAGCAGTGACAGTCAAAAGTATTACCTCAAGCTAGTGCCTCTTTGGAGAGGGAAAGTGGTGAATAGAGTGGTCTGTTTAACTGGCTTATAATGCTTTAGAATAGATTGTGGGCTGGGAGAATTAACAACTGCTGAGTTGTTCGGTATTAAAAAAATAAAGAGACTTCTTCTGTCAGTCCAAATAACCTCAACGGATTTCAAAATAAGCAACTTGCATCAGTTATATTTAAAGAACTGAAGTTATCCTTTTTTTTTAAGCCAGGAGGGTGACTCCTATTGGATTGTAAACAACTGTAAGAGCAGAGTTCTCTCACACAGATGTTGTGAAGATAAATACATTAAAGATTGTGAAGTGCTTTGAGAGCTACTGATGAAAAGCAGTGTTTAAGAGCTAAGTATTATTATCGAAACCACACGAGTCTCTCTCATTCACTTTAACTGCATTATTGCTCATGGAAGGAGTTCAAAAGAGCACCATGTGTGTTGTCTGATTTATGACAGACTTCAGAGGATATATTTGTATGGAAAATATGGCAAAGCATTGACTTGATTTGCAATGGGCAATTACGTCCCAGTTCACTGTGGGCAAATCTGAACTAAAATTTCCATGCAAAAGGGCAGAAATATTTAAGCCCTTTCCTGGTGTGACCTGAACTTACAAGAGACAGGAAATTCAGGTGGGAGGTTGAAATGTCTTTCTTAATTCACCCTATTGTGTCGAGGTATTCCAGCACACACACGGTTGTGGGGGATTCCAGGAAGAATTTGGTGCAACTGGACATATTGCCACTGGAGTTTTAGTCTTGCGAGATGTCTGTAAGTAAGTGCAAAGCCCCTGACAAAAGGCCATATTGATTGCACCTCCTGATCACAACTGGGGGAATTAATTTCTGCCCTAATCCTACGTTTCCTGTGAGTTCACATCAAAATGTTGCTTTAAGATCTCTTATATGTAGCATCAGGTTTCAAGATATAATAAAATAAGTATAAATAAATGAATAAATAAAAAAGACACCGCAAAGAAATATAAACTCCATGCTGCTTCGATGTCAAAAGCTAGAAAACTAAAGGAAAAAAATGGTGCACCAGTTCATAATCGCAATACATTAGTGTATTACATCCCAAGCACTATATATCCAAGTGTCTACTGCATTGAGAGTCAAACAGGCTCAAAGCTTTCAGCGATCACAAAGATGGGGCTGGAGGAAGGACATTTTTCAAAGGAAACTGTTCCAAGGAGAACTGACTGTGAACTTGCTGACTGCAGCTACCAGCTAATCTGAGGTTATGCTCAGGGGTTTCCCAGTTCTTTGATAAAGGAGCATTCCCAGCAGCTGTATCCACACATAGGGCCTTTTGCAGGCCTGAGAGAGGAAAGGAAAACTATAACTGGAAACTGACAGTTGAATTTGGATCCATAGGTGCTGGAACTAGGGGTGCTACCGCACCCCTTGTCTTGAAGTGATTTAATCATATACAGAGTTTACAGTTTGGTTTAATAGCTCTCCGCACCCCCTATACAAATTGTTCCAGAAGCACACCAAGAGCAAAAGCTGGGAAGGGAGCTATATTAACCCTTTGAAAGCTGTGCACAATGCTTCTCCTGGAGCTTCATCCTGACACATTTGTCCTTGATCACCGAGCAGATTTGCTCTGGAGCTACTGAGAGATGGGAAACGTTGGGTCTCATTATACCATGTTTAGAGCAAAGTTGCACTTTACATTCTTGCAGGGTCTGTGCTTAGGGTTGAAGAGGCTGCATTTAAAGTTAGGAAATTTTGTCGGAAAAATAAAAAATAGATAAAATAAAGGGTGCTTCCTCTAATCCACTGTTCACTGGTTCAAACGGCAGGGAGGAGGACTTGCAGAGAGGTACAGAGAAAATATCAGGCTGATATGATCATCTTGTTTGGTACCAAAAAGTCAGTCGTCACTGAGGGAGGAGAATTTGCCTTTCAGAGTGAACTCAAGTAACAGAGGACTTGAAGTTACACTGTTTCTTGGCTGAAATTAGATTTTTAAAATGAGACCATTGGATGATTTAACTCTGTACCATATAAACAGATTTACAGTCATGGAACCAGTAAGATGAATCCTCTGCTATAGGAAAAGAGGATTTGCTCCTGTTACAATGCAGCAACAGTGTTTTGGCTCAAGCTGGTGCTGGGTTTTTTTTGTTTTTATGAGGACACCTGCCCACCCGGAACTAGCCTGAGGCCCCTATCACTTAATATCGGTCACTGAAAAACTATTAGAAGTTCAAAGTACTTAAATCACTTCTCTGCTGGGCTAGAAGCAGTATGAACAGTTTCACATTTTTATGACCGCTCTCAATGTCTGATCTTATTACTAGCCTGAAATAAGATAGGGATTTTAAATAAATAGGTCACACATGCATACCACACTACACAAATCTTACAGTCCATCACTGAGAATAGACACTAATCTTGTAGGACCTATGGAAACATGCATGTGCCTCCCCTGTTGAGTGATTGCAGCAGCAGTGAATTAACTACACTTTTCCCAAAGCTCAGTCAACATCCATGATTATACTGTTGCAGAAAGATATCTGGGGCCATTAAGACTTTATGAAAGTTAAAGGAAAACCAGCGTGTTCATTTCAGCCTCCCATTCAAAATGTGGGGAAGACTCATATTCAATACATGAAAAAGGAAAAAGCTGGTAGATAATTCATGGCGCTCTCAAGTCTCCACAAAGGTGAAACTAAAACATAACATATGACTTGACAGTTGCTGGGAGAAGCTCAAGTCTGGTCCACCTAAAATAAGACCTACCAGCTTTGTTAAGGACTGTGGACATATGAGTTTACCCATTATATATCTGCTGGTAGTTACAGGTACAGTACTTCAGAGGAATAAATCCACATATGACTTTCCTTCTTGTTTATAAGAGCAGGATACACAGGGTGAGCACGGGAAAGCATGGCATTCATGCATGTAGTGTCCTTTGCTAGGAGCAGAGATGTCAAACAGCCTGACTTGTGTTTTGGTAGGGTTGCTTGCAGCAGAATTTTCTAGGCTGTTTTATCCCCAGATAAACACGGCTGTCTCACGGTCTGTGTCAATCTGAGTGAATTGATGTAGTTAAAAAGAGGAGGGAAATGTGTAGGTGAGGTTTTAAATGACTCACTGTAACCCACAGACACAATCCTTAATCGCAGGAGGAGGACAAAGTTGCAGAACCTTGTCTCACCATAGGGACAAGGCTTTTGCCCCTGGCTCCGGGTAAGGGGGCCACACCCAGCCAACCTCAGGGCATCCTTCTCAAATCTAGGACTCCTGGTGGTGGGTGAAGTTCAGCGAGTGTCACAGCCATAGGGAGCACTAGTGTGTAAGTGACGATCGGGGATATAGGGGTCCTATCCCAGTTCCGGACTGTTCACAAAAGCGGCACCTGAGCTCCCTGTTGTCTGAACACACTAAACAAAGACTGTGAATGGCTAGCCAACTACAAAAGCAGTTTCTCCTCCCTTGGTGTTCACACCTCAACTGCTAGAAGAGGGCCTCATCCTCCCTGATTGAACTAACCTGGTTATCTCTAGACTGATTCTTGCCTGCATATTTATACCTGCCTCTGGAAATTTCCATTACTTGTGTCTGACGAAGTGGGTATTCACCCACGAAAGCTTATGCTCCAATACGTCTGTTAGTCTATAAGGTGCCACAGGACTCTTTGTCGCTTTTTACAGATCCAGACTAACACGGCTACCCCTCTGATACTAAAAGTTGGGGGGTTAAGTGCATTGATTGAGTAGAAAATATCCCCTCCCCCCATGAGAGAAACCCAACATGAAGGGGGGATGGAGAGGGCGGCTGGAGGGGGGGGGTGTCTCAGCACCCCATTGGGGGCTCTCTGGGTTGGGTTAGGTTTTAAATGACACCGAACTGCAGGGCCGGCCTGCCGCGCTGGAAAATCAAACCGGCCAGCTTCCGCCTCAGCCAATCAGCCTGCGGGGCTGCCCATCGCCGGCCAATGAGAAAGGAGAATGCTAATGAAGTGACGTCAACCGAGAGGGGTGCCCCCATTCAGAAAAAAAAAATGAACTCCAAGCCCGGAGCCAGGCGGCGTTCCCCGCGGAACTTGGTGTAACAATTTCCAGCGCCCCGATGGCTCCGGAGCGCGGGGCTCGCCCGCTGCCCTGCGGCACGGAGGGGCTGCCCAGAGCCTTCCTGCAGAGCCTGCGGACCCTCTTCGACATCCTGGATGACCGGCGGCGGGGCTACGTGCACCTGCGGGAGATCGAGTCCCGCTGGCAGGGGGCCGAGGCCCGGGAGCTCCCCCCCGGCGTGCTGGAGGGGCTGCGGCAGGCGGCCCCGGCCAGCGGCTACCTCACCTTCGAGAGGTTCGTGCTGGGGCTCCGGGCCTCGCTGCTGAGCCCGGCGAACGGGGGTAAAGCGGCCCGGCCGGCCCCGGGAGGATGCGACCCCGCCGCCCCCAAGGGCGGGCCGGGCCGAGGGCAAGGGGAGCCCAGGCCGCTGGCGGAGAAGGGCAGGTGCTCGAGCGGGCTCGCCGGCAGCGCGTCCCGGAGCATGGAGAAGATCCCCAGCCCGCCGGGAGCCCCCGCGCACCGGGCCGAGGGGGAGAGCCGGGGCAGGAGCAGAGGTGAGTGAGGGAGGGGCTGGAGATCCGCAGCCCCGGGGTGGGGGGTGTCTGCGCCTCGCTGGGCCCCGGTGCTGGCTGGGTTGAGCCCGACTCGCTTTCCCCTTCCCACACGGCCCCTCTCCGCTCCTGGGGCTAGAGCCCGCTCTCGGCAGCTTCTGCGCAGGCTGCCTGCCTGTCCCAGCCTTGGGCTCGCCTTTTAATTCGGCGCGGGCCCGACCCAGTGCTCCCACCCAGGTGCGGAATGAATTTTGTTATGTGCACCAATGTGGAGGTGATGCGTGACTGGGGCAGAGGGTTGAGGTGCAGGGGGGGATGAGGGGCTCAGGGCTGGGGCAGAGGGTTGAGGTGCAGGGGGGGTGAGGGCTCTGGCTGGGGATGAGGGGCTCAGGGCTGGGGCAGAGGGTTGAGGTGCAGGGGGGGTGAGGGGTCTGGCTGGGGGTGTGGGCCCTGGGGTGGGGATGAGGGGGTTGGGGTGCAGGAGGGTGCTTAGGGGCTATGGCAGGGAGAGAGGACTCCCCCCAGTTCTCTCTTCCCACAGCAGCACCTGGGCATGGGGCAGGGGAGAAGAGGTGTCTCTCCCAGCCTCTGCAGCTCTGTGGGCTGGGGCTGCAAGATAGGTGCCCCTCCCTTGGCCCTAGCAGGTCTGGGCTGGGAAAGGGTTGCCCTGGGCACGGCTGGTTGGGGGCTGGGCTAGGTGCAGATTTGGGGGGGAGTACCCCTGCCCCAGCTGCGGCAGGTCCCTGGGTGGGTTTCTTGAGCACCTGCACGGCGCTAAATAGGCTGCTGCGTGGCCGTGCAGCTTACAGGGAACTTAGCCCCCCACCCCTTGTCTTGCTCAATGCCCTCACAGCACCCTGGTCTGAAACTCACCGCCTGATTGGTCTCTCCTCCTGTGCCTGCACCGCTTGTCGTTGAGACTTTTTTATTAAAAGGAGTAATTTGGGGAGGGGGTGTCTCTCTACACTGGCAACAAACACAGAAGCAGGTGGCAGGATTCGGGGCCACGCTCTGCCACCCTTGCTTATGTTGAGTAGCATCCAGCTCCATTGACTTCATGGAGACTATCTGAAGAAGAGCTGTGTGCAAACTCTGATGCTCGTCTCTCTCACCAACAGCAGTTGGCCCAATTAAAGATATGACCTCACCCGCCTTGTCTCACTAATAACCTGGTACTGACACGGCTCCAACAACGCTGCATGCAGAGGAAGGGCCAGTTTGGCCTTTCAAAAGGGTCATTGAAAACTACTTGGCACCTTGAATAATGGCTTACTCAGAATGTCAGTGACTATTCCATGTGAGCAAGAGTATCACAGTCTCTAGCCCAAAGATGCTACTCACCTGGAGTAAGGATGGTAGTGTGTGGGTGTGTGGATACCAATTGTCTGCATTGTGCTTGTGGGGTTGTATTTTTTTTTTTTAATGATTATTATTTCTTCTTTCCCTGACTCCTCTCCTTTCTCTCCCCCCCCCCCGCCCCGCCAAGCTGACATCTGTCTCTGAGAACTTGCATTCTGACAAAACTAAACTAAAATAAAAATGCACCAGATTTTATTGTGATTGAATGTTGTGGGTTTTAAAATCCACCACGGTCTTCAAAATAGAACTTCTTTCCCCTGCCTGAGGCTGTTCTGGCCCTTTGAGGGGTGTGAATGAATCTGGGAACATCGGCTGGGGGAGTGAGTAAGGTGAGGTGCTGAAGGGTACAATGGACTCTAGCCTGGCTCCCCAGAATCATGTGGAGGAGTAACTGCAGTATTCACATGGAGTGCAGATTACTGGATAAGTGCCATCACTCTCTTGCAGCCTCATCTGCTTTTCCTGAAGACTTTGGTTCAGGTTATTTTCTGCTGGGCTCTGATCTGGTCATTGGATCTGAAATATCTTGCCCTTTGGATGGTTTTCAGATCAAGAAAATGCGGGAAGTTTGCTGCTGTGGTACCTGCAGAAATTCAGCAATTTCATAGTTTCAAATCATGAAAAGGGCCACTGCTGCTGGATTGCTCCGGTAGAGATGGCAGAAGGCCAGGGTGTGTCTGGATCAACACCTGTAGCTCTGGTTTCAAGCAGTGCAAACCTGTTTCTCCCTCTGCTGTAAGACAACAAAAAATTCACTCCTTATGGGCCTGATGCAAGCCCATGAAGCCAACGGAATTCTTTTTATGGATTTCAGATCAGGCCCTGTACTGCATTACTTTCACAATATATACTTGAGTCCCGTTTGCAGCTCCCAATCAATCACTGGTGCACCTTTAACTTGTATCCCTCATCATGTGGTGACTTGTCTGTTACAGTGATGAACAAGAAATATTAGGGGCTTAACATTAACATGCCCGTAGTTGTCCTGTTGCCTAAAGTGATGTAGGTGACATCACTCTGGTGGCTAGAAATGCAGCCGTTCAGATGTTCGTTCAGGTTTACGGATGGATCGCCATGTCTTGTGTGTCAGTGAAAGGGCCCCCTGCTAGCTGAGCAAATGCGACTGAACCAATCGCAGAGTTAAGTTTGATAACAAATGTGGTAATAGACTCTCAAACTCTTTTTTATATAGTGGGAACTTCATCTTCACAGAATGATTTATCTTGTGGATCAAGCCTCATTCAGGACTGCTGAGGCCACCTGCCCTTCTGTTTGTGATCACATAACATCCCTGTTGCTATTCCAGCAATTGCTTAGATGGAGAGTAACATTAGGAAAGCATTCCGTGTGTACTTAGTTGTCTTTTAGTGCTGCTGAACCAGCAAGTGCTCCGCATGCCTCCTGTAGTTCATGGGTCACAGTTTAAGACAGTGGCTCTCAAACCTTTGTACTGGTGACCCCTTTCACATAGCAAACTTCTGAGTGCGACGACCCCCCGCTTTATAAATTAAAACCACCTTTTTAAATATATTTAACACCATTATAAATGCTGGAGGCAAAGTGGGGTTTGGGGTGGAGGTTGACAGCTCGCGACCCCCTAGGGTGACCAGACATCCCGATATTATTGGGACAGTCCCGATTTTAAGAGATTTGTCCCATGTCCCGACCGCATATCGGTTGGGATGCCCTTTGTCCCGATATCAGGGACTGCTCACGGCACGCACCTGAGGTCCCGGGGCTGGCAGCACTTCCTGGGACAGCTCCCAGTGCCCGCCCGCCAGCAGGAGCCGGCAGTGCGGCCCCTAGGCACAGAGGCAGCGAGGGGGTCTCCCATGCTGCTCCGGCTCCGTCCTGCCCAATCAGAGCTGCAGGGTTGGGGCTTGCAGGTGCCGGGGGCGGGCAGAAAGCACTCTGACCCGACCCTAGGAGCCAGAGGGACCTGCCGGATGCTTCCCAGGAGCCGCCCCAGGTAAGCACCGCCGGGACTCCCCACCTTGCCCCTTGGCAGGTCCCTCTGGCTCTTAGGGTTGGGGCAGGGCGGAGGGCTCTCTGCACGCTGCCAGGGCATGCAAGCCCCGCTCCGCAGCTCCCATTGGCACATTTCCTGGCCAATGGGAGCCACGGAGCTCGCGCTTGTGGTGGGCGCAGCACATGGAGACCCCTTGGCTGCCCCTGATCCTAGGAGTCAGAGGGACTTGCCAGATCCTTCCTGGGAGCTGCCCCAGGTAGGCACTGCCAGGACCCCCCACCCCCGGCAGGTCCCTGTGGCTCTTGGGGGTGGGGGGAGTAGGGGGCTCTGGAGCAGAACCCCTCTGCACTCGGGGTGCCCCTAAGAAGGGCTGGGCAGGTCAGCTCGCAGAGAGCCCTGGCTTGCAGAGCCTGGCGGGGAGTCCCCTGCAGCCGGCTCTGTGGATGCAGTGGAAGGGCTAGAACTGGCTCTGAAATGAGCTGTGGCTCTGTGCTCGATGGGGGAGGCTGCAAGAATCGGAGAGTTGCCATTTCAAAGCTTTTCTTTCCCCACCTGTTTTTGCCTGGGGGAGGCAGGGGCAGGTGCCTCACAGAGGTAACAGCTGCATGCTCCCCCCAGCAGAGTGTGTGCAGACCGGTCCACCTAGCTCATGGCAGAGCCAAGGAAAGGAGGCGCCTGCCTCTGCAGATGCTGATTCCACCCAGGGCAGGCCAGGGCTGAGCACTGCTAAGCTGCTGCCCACGTCACTTACCCACATTGGCAAGCAGGGATCGCACCTGGCGGCGTACATCTGCTTGATGTACAATCGGGCGCCATTTGTCCTGATATTCAGGTAAAATTTAAAATTTGGTAGTGAAATAGAAAATTAGTTGATTGGGAATGTCCCATTAAACCCGACTGGGATCTGTTCTCTACTGGCAATTTTGGTTTTTCAGGCTGTTTTCCGATGTAACGCAATTTACAGAAGGGATATGTAGTTTACAGTTCTGAACCACAGTGCATACCGTAGGACAAACTACAGTGGGCACATAAGAAGCACAGAGACTGTGCGGTTCTTTTCAGTGGCTAGCTAACGGTCTTCAGCTGAAAACCCCACCCGAAATGGCAACGGCAAGAGAGGAGCCAACTACCAAAAAAGACAGTGCAGATACAGGACAGAATGGGAAACTGCTTACACCTGGATTTGGAAATCCTAAGAGTGTGATACAAAAAGCTTTTGTAAAGCATGCAGGAAGGAATTTAGCATTTGCCATGGCAGTGAGTCTGATGTTAAGCATCATGTTGATTAAAAAAATCATGGACAAAACACCCAGACTCACAAGAGCAATACCCTGGTCTCACTTTTTTTTCAGCCGGCCAAATGAATCCTTCAATAAGAAGGTTATCGCTGTTGAGCTAACTCAGGTTTACCACACAGTCCATCAACATTCCTATCGCTCGCGTCGCTGTGAACTTAAACTAGCACCTACCTTGTATCCAGATTCAACGATTGCGAAGCACGTCAGCTGTGGCCGGACTAAAGCGGAGGCATTGATCAAAAATGTGCTGTCACTTCTCTCAACAGAATTTTTAAAAGACCTCAGCAAGCCAGACAGTCCCTATTTCTCAGTTGCCACAGATGCATCTAACGAGGGCAATGTGAAAACTTTCCCCTTATCGCTGAGATACTGGACAC